ATATATATATATATATATATATATATATATATATATTCTACAAGAATCAAAACTGTAATTTGTTTACTTTATAAGGACAAAATTAATGATTCTAATTAAAGGGATGAAAAAAAATAAAAAATTTCAAGGACAAAAATACAAAAAACATTCATTTTACGATGACTAGAAACATATTTAAGTATTACTATTTTTAAAATTTACCATTATTAAGATTCTTATAAAAAGGAAAAGGTAAATTTATATTCTAAATTTTCCAAATCTTTTGTGAATAAAAGAAAATATTTATCTTATTAGAAAAAAAGAATAAATTTTCAATTTAATATGTTATCTTATTACTATAATAATTTTTATCAATTATATATATATAAAAGAAGGATCGACTTATTCTAAGAGTAAGTTTACTCAAACTTACTCCATTCAATAATTTATATTCTACATCAAATTTCAACGATTAATTGTTTAATGAAATGTTCTTAAAGCGTAGATCAACTCTATAAATTGTTAAAGAATTTAAAAATTATTTGATAACCCATTTCATTAATTCAAATGGACAAGTAATCATAGAAATATTTTATATATTGATTTTAATTAATGAAATAGAGTATCAAATAATTTTTAAAATTTTAAAAAAATTTACAAACCTATTCTATACATTAAGAACTTTCAATTCATTGGTTAAATCGTTGATATTTGATGTAAAATATGAGTTATTTAGTAGAGTAAGTGAATCATACCTCTTTTGTGAAATTTAAATTCCATGTTCATTTATGTGCTAACCATAAAAGATAAAAAAGAAAATCGCATACAATATAAGGTAAAAAACCCATAAAAATGGAAAGTGAATAAAAAGAATACGTGCATGCTTTTATATGTTTGACCCACACATGTTATTACTAGGAAAATAGATTTTCTAACATAATTCTTCAACACCTATTCCTTACATGTACTTAGTCATATATTTTGCCAAGTACGAGTCTTGTTATTGCTAAGAAGTAAGACAACAAGAGCATGAACTAAATTCATCCATTCATTCACTCCTTATATATATATATATATTTAAATATGCAAAAAAAAAAATTGAAAGCTGAAGATGAGGAGTGGAAGTGTTGCACCCAAGGAAGAGGAGCAAAAATCAAGAAGGAACAAGAGAGTTGTTGATGAGAATGCTCCTTTGATATCCAAGGTTCAAGATAGTGATGATGGTGCAAGGTTTGATGAGTTTCTTGGGGCTGTTTTCAACTTGTCCACCACAATTATTGGTTCTGGGATCATGGGGTTGCCAGCATGTGTGAAAAAGTTAGGGATGGTGCCTGGTCTTATTGTTATCATCTTGATAGCTTTCATGACAGAGAAGTCAATTGAGTTCATGATTAGGGTTTCCAAGGCAGGGAATTTTTCTTCTTATGGCTCTCTCATGGGTGATGCTTTTGGGGAATATGGGAAAGCTTTGGTGCATATATGTATTGTAGCCAATAACATTGGTGGATTGATTATTTACATGATTATTATTGGTAAGAACTGTGTTCTTAAGCCCAACGCTTCACTCACATTTCAAAGTTTATTCTAAATATTTTTAATTTGATAACGAATAATTCAGTTTTTGGGCAGGTTGTTATGTTTTGAAAATTTCTTTGTATTGTTTAAATAAAAATAAGAATTTTATTCTTATCATTTAAGTTTAGAATATTATCAATTTTATTTTAATATTAGAATAACTAGTATTAGAATTTTTGTATTATCAGTTAGATCCTTTTCATCATTAATAAAAATTTATCAACTTCCTCTAATTAAAATATATTTTGATAGATATAAATACAAAACAACTTATCAAGAGTTTCATTGTTCTTGCCCTAGATTGATTACTCATCAATGTTGTCTAATTTAGTTTTGTGTTGTTCACCTTGAAGGTGATGTAATTTCTAGAACAACTTCAAGTGGAACTCACCATTCTGGAGTTCTTGAAGGATGGTTTGGGGTCCACTGGTGGACTAGGCAAACATTTGTTCTTTTGTTTTCAACACTTGTTGTGTTTGCACCTTTGGTTAGCTTTAAGCAAATTGGTGAGTTTTTTTTTTTTTTTTTTGTGAATAAATGCTAGTAGCTTTAATTTCAATATTACTCATTTTAGTCATGACATATATATGTTAGCTGATTTTTTTATACAAATCCAAAAGATTTCATGTGCCTGCACCTGATAAAGAGAAAACTCTCCACGCAGCTGTAGGCCTAGGTGGCCTCGGAGCACTCCTAGATGGAGTCGATGGCATCTGACAATCTCTGGAAAGGTGGCCTGACCTGTCACATCTGAAACAAACATTTCCCGGATGGGAACAATCTCTAACCACATGTGCTCCTCCAGCATCGCACTGATGGTGCTCCACTCTAAGGAGTAGCAGGACGAGGTCCCCTATTGACAGCACCCCTCTGAGACTGAACAGGCCTGTCATAGGGTCCCTTCTGCTGGCCTCCCCTCCTAGATCCAGATGATCCCTCCTAAACTCTAGCAGCCTTGTCGCTGCTACCACCACCCTCCAGATGATCCCTCCTAAACTATGGACATAGGGACTATGACCCTCTTCAGCTTATGCCTCAACCCCTCTGCAAACTTCCTGCATCTTCAAGCCTCAGATATGGCCTGAGAGTAGAAACAAGTCAGATGCTCAAACCGTATAGCATACTCAAAAACAGACAAGCTCCCCTGATGTAGTCTCATGAACTTAATCTCCTTAGCGTGTCTAACGCTATCCAGGAAATACTTCTCCAAGAAAAACTCTCTTGAAGAAATCCCAATCCACAACTACACCCTTGCTCTCTAACATCTATTTGGTGCCTCTCCACCAGTACTTAGCCTCACCCGCCAGTATATATACTGCATAGGCCATCTTCCTCTCCTCAGAAGATCCCGAAACACTAAAGATCTTCTCCATCTCACACAACCATTAATCTGCCACATTAGGATCTGAATCTCGCTTGAATTGAGGGGGCTAACATCTCCTGAACTCTACTAAATCTCTCTTATCCTGAGAGACCATCGGTCTAGCTGCCTCAATGGCAACTCTACCTGCATCCAGCTGAGCAAAGTGAGCACTCTACTACTGCATCTCCATGGCCATCATCTCCATGGCCCTAGCGATCTATTCATACCGAGGCCTCACCATACTAAAAGATTCCAAAACATTCGTTTAGTAACACTATACCACCATATATCACCAAAACTAACACATATCAGAGATATGACACAACAGAAACCTAGAAGGATCACTCCCCACAGAGTATCCAAAAGACTCGACCGGCTCTAATACCATAAAAGTGTAACGACCTACCATGATCTCTACACTTAGTGGAATCGCACTACTACTAGCAAACTAAGAGACATATTAAGTTGGATAACTCATACATACAGGTATAGGTAAGAATAAAATAATGGTTTTTGTATACAAAATAGAACACCATATATGTATAGTCATCCCAAAAATAATATTCCCTAGTGTCGGTCAAGCAAAAACAAAACCGTTACCCAAAATGGTAACTCTAACACGAGGATCAAACTCCCCGTCTCGCAGTGGTCACCTTAACTCCAAGCTATCCTTGACCTGCTCCCATACCAAGTATGATCATTGCAGTCCCACCATATGGAAACAAAAGGGTAAGCTAGAGTTCAAAAATCAATCATACAAGTACAAAATAAAATCTATACTACACATGCATCCAACTCAAGTCCTAAAGGAACTTCCATCTCAATTAAATCATCCATTCATCAAACATGAAGTCAAACGCCATACACTTCATCATCATAACAATCATGAAATACATGTAACTCACGATAGATATCAATGCATATCAATCATCTAATGTGTCATCACAAATACACCTAGGAGATCTCCTTAATAGTAGAGCAGTATCAGTGACATTCCATCCTACCGAAACCACCCCAACTATTTTCACGCCCAATGCGCCCACTCGGTCACAGCTAAACAGAATATATTCCTCACTCGGGGTTTAATCAGATGATGTCACTTACACAATTGGAAGTCTAGATCCACCGTCAGGTATAGCACAGCTGGGTACATGCTTACCACGACCTTGGCATGCATTACCAAGTCAATTGTGGTGTTCGCCCACCGACTATCCGCAAGGATCCACGCACCTTCCCGGGTACTTGGTTAAGGGAATAACCCTCGACCTCATACCCCGCTCCAACACTAGCTAAGGACTTAAAGGAGACTCACCCAACCTAGTGGCCTACCTGAGCACCACTCTGCCAAATCCAGTGGCCTACCTGAGCACCACTCTCATATATCAGTGGCTTGTCCAAGCACCACTCTCAAGAGACTCTATGTGAGCTCTTCCAGTTCAAAAATATTTTTCCTCTCCTCAAGTCCTAGGCTAGACTCATGCCATAAGGCATCACATGCAATTATGCTCACACATCATACATGGTCTGCCCACCATCATGATCAACAATCATACACATGTCATAAGACATCACATGCAATAATGCATCATACATCATACATGGTCTACCCACCATCATGATCAACAATCATACTCATATGAACATATACTCATGTCATATCATATTTATACATTCATATATATCATTACCAAGCATACATA